AAAAGGGGTGGCGCCGCTCCGACGAGCGACTAATTGCAAATTACTTGCGATTCAGTGTCGGTATGCCACATACAAAATCGCAGAAAAAGAGAGAAAAAAAATCAAAAAAGAAAAGACGAGCCGATAGCAAAACGAAAAAAAAAATTCAAAAAAAGAAGCAGAGAAATTTTTCAACGGAAACCTTTGACGTCGTTACACGCGTAAAAGGTGAAAAAGACCACCTTGAACTTTATGAATCTTATTCAGTTTCCTACTTCCGTCTTTATCGTCAGGGAAAAAGGAAGGTAATTTTAAAAAACGGGGGAGAAACTCTTCTAGACGAAAAAAAAACGACGACGACGACGACGAAAAAAAGAGTGAAATAAAACATGACTGAGAATGAAGATCTTCTCTCGAAATGTCAGGAAAATAACTGTCAAAGTTCACGAGGAAAAAAGCTAAAGAATGTTTTTTAAAATCCTCTTTTCATTGAAAAAGGAGTGAGAGAGTGAGGGGCGGGGGGAGAAAAAAAGTGACGCATCTCTATAATGTCAACTCTTCCTAAAGATCAAAATAATGGGAAAAGGATTACGTAATTTGATATTTAGATTTAATCTTTTCTATATATATAATAAGAGTCCTTTTGCAAATTAGAATTCAGGAAAAACTATAATTTTCATTTTCGCTTTTTAAATTTAAGGAGAAATTTCATTGGTATATCAGCTTTGATCATTTATTAAAAAGGGAAAATTTTTTATATATTTTTCTACATTAAATAGTGAAAACTTTCTCTTGGGAATTTGATAATATTCGAGAAGAAATTTTCTCCCTTTAGAAAAAAAAAATTTAGACCATTTATATTTCTTAATCACAATTTTTTCAAAAAAAAAAAATCTTCCGGGTTTTTCGTAATAAATAAAAAATATTTGCAATAGCTGCCCACAAAAATTACCTCAAATACAGAAATTAAATTTAAACGTCTTTTTCCCCAAATTTTGATTTTCTTCTAACGTCGGATGTGGCTGCCTATGACTTAAAAGTTAAAATAAAATAAAATTTATTTCTTAGCAATATCCCAGCCAGGGCCGGATTTGCTGTAGGGCAAAAAGGGCAAGTGCCCTGGGGCCCCCGGTCGTCAGGGGCCCCCAATTTTTAAGAGGTCTTCTTGTCACAAGAAGTGTATATGTGTAAATGCTCTATCAGGGTGTCTAACGGTCAGGGAAAAGTCATGGAAAAGTCAGGGAATGTCAGAGAATTTCATTGAAAGTCAGGGAAATTTCTAAAAAAATTTTGTGAATAAAAAATTTTTTTAACCTAACAAAACTTAGAAGATTTTTATCACCGTTTTTTTCTATCATTAGATATTAATTTATTGTTAAATATGTCAGTTACTATATTTTTTCTCAAGAAAGCAAAAATAAAATTAGTAAAAGGTCAGGGAAAAAGTCAGGGAAAAGTCAGGGAATTTTTTTCTCAATCCTTGTTAGACACCCTGTCTATAATAGTAAATCAGTTTCTATATGTAATATAAATTGTAATTGATTTGCAGTTCGACAATTTTTGAAAATTGTCCGATTTCAAACAATTACAATTCAAGCTGCATGCGAATAATGACGGTTTGCGCAGCTATCGTTGGCTATTTTATCAATTGAAAGCGAATTATTAAAAACAGTGGATACCAACAAAATAATTGAAGAGTTTCTTTCTAAAAAATCAAGAAAGTGTCGTTAATATGTGAAAAATGTTTGCACAACATTGTTGATAACCATAACAAATTATTTAATTGAATAATTTGTAATAGTCTCAAAATAAATATATCTATTTTTGTTTTTACGTTTTCAAATATATATTGTGTTAAATTTGATTGATTTTGCTCCCGGGTAAGAGGGCCCCAGGGCCCTAGTGCCCTAGGGCCTCTGACACCCTAAATCCGGCCCTGATCCCAGCGATAATGTAGATAAATTTCAATCCATTAAAATTATATTAGGATTGAAAAAATAATTTGACATTAAAAAAATTTCATAAATTAATAACTTTTTAGTAATAAATTAATTGATAATGTATTACTATTAATTATTAACAAACTTTGGTTACTTGAAAAAAAAATTATTCCAAATATACACTGAAAAGAAAAAATAGTTTTTCGAAAATTAAACAAAATTTATCTCTCCAGGTGAAATATTTATAAAAAATTGTAAATAACAGTAGGTAATAATTTTTTTTAAAATCATTTAAATATAATTTAATTATTAATTAATTAATTACTTATAAACAGAAGAAGAATTAACGAAAAAGGAGAAATAAAGAGAATGGGAAGATTAAAAAATTAAAGATACCCAGTGAGAAATTTCTCACCGGTCCAATATCGGTCCAATATTGGGAGCCAAGAGACCGATCATCGGTCCAATAAAGGCTCCCAATATTGGACCAATATGGGCTGATGCTTGGGATGTAACGGCATCGCCAATCATCGGTTGTCAATATTGGTCCAATATTGGCCGAATATTGGCAACCAAGAGAAAAAAATTTTTTTAAATAAATTTTTTTTAATTAAATAATAATAATCAAAAATTAATCTTTATAATTTTTGTTTAATATATTTATTTGTTTAATTACTTATTTTTAATAATTCATGTAAATAATAAATAATTTATTATTTATAAATTATAATTATTTAAAAATGCAGCAGCTATTAGGAAATAGCATTCTGCAAAAAAATTCTATCATTGAAAAATCAATGATAGGCGAGAGAAATCCGCGTCTTTAAATAGATTCGCAGATGATAGACAAGAGATATCCGCGTCATTAAACGGATTCGCAGATATACTCTGGTCTCGCGACGAATCTCTCGATACTTATATACACTGGAGTCGCCGTGTCAGTTGCGAGAACGGTTACAGCGTCCCTCTTGCGGCAGAGATAAGAATTTTCACGTAAACTGCGGGTATAATAATCAATAAGGCGGTCGGTAAAGCGATTTAGCAGTTTACGTGACAATTCTTATCTCTGCCGCAAGAGGGACGCTGTAACCGTTCTCGCAACTGACACGGCGACTCCAGTGTATATAAGTATCGAGAGATTCGTCGCGAGACCAGAGTATATCTGCGAATCCGTTTAATGACGCGGATATCTCTTGTCTATCATCTGCGAATCTATTTAAAGACGCGGATTTCTCTCGCCTATCATTGATTTTTCAATGATAGAATTTTTTTGCAGAATGCTATTTTCTAATAGCTGCTGCATTTTTAAATAATTATAATTTATAAATTATTTATTATTTACATGAATTATTAAAAATAAATAATTAAACAAATAAACATATTAAACAAAAATTATAAACATTAATTTTTTATTATTATTATTTAATTAAAAAAAATTTATTTAAAAAAATTTTTTTCTCTTGGTTGCCAATATTCGGCCAATATTGGACCAATATTGACAACCGATGATTGGCGATGCCGTTACATCCCAAGCATCAGCCCATATTGGTCCAATATTGGGAGTCAATCGGCGCCCAGCACGGCAACCAATATTGGACCGATATTGGACCGATTAAAGTCTATTGGCAATTTCTCACTGGGTATTAAAAAAATATACAAAAATTTAATAAAAATTAAAAGATTAAAGAAAACAGGTGATATTAAATAAAATGGGGAAATAAAAAGAGAAAAACTTTAATTGAAGAAGAAAAAATGGGGAAAACAAAATGAATAAAAAAGGGGATTAAAGAAACAAGAGGAAATAAAATTAAGAAAGAAGAAATGGTTAAATTAAAGAAAAAGAGGAAAATTAAACTGTCAAAGTTAAGAGAAGGATTAACGAAAAAGGGTAAATTAAAAAGGAAGAGCAAAATCAATTTAAATAATAAGTGAGGGGGTTAAAAAAAATAAATTAAATAAAAGGTGAAAATTAATTTCAAAAAGAGAAAGAGAGAAAAGAAGTTGAAGCAAAAGAAAAAAATAAAATTAAATAGTAGGGGGGAATTAAAGAAAAGGGAGAAATAAAATTAAAAAGTATGGGAGTTTTAAAGAAAAAAGGGAAAATTAAATACAAAGTGGAAAATTAAAATAAATAAAAGGAGGTATTAAAGAAAAAGTGAAAAATAAAAAGAAAGAAGTATATTAATGAAAAAGGCGTAAATAAAATTTAAATGTAGAGGAGAATTAATGAAAGAAGGAAATAAAAAAGGAGTAAATAAAATTTAAATGTAGAGGAGGATTAACGAAAAAAAAGAAAATTAAAAAGAAGAAAGAGGAATTAAAAAGGAGAAGAAAAAATTTAAAAGAAGGATAAAAATGAAAGAAAAGGGAGAAATTAAATAAAAGGGGGGATTAAAGAAAAAATGGAAAATTCAATACAAAGGAGGAAATGAAATAAACAAAATACGGGATTAAAGAAAAAGGGGTAAATAAAATTTACAAGAAGAAGAGGATTTTTAAGAAAAGTGGGAAATTTAGTTTAAAAGAAGAAAGAGGAATTAAAAAGGAGGAAATAAAACATAAAAGGGGGATAAAAATTAATGAATAAGGGAAAAATAGAATCAACAATAAAGAGGTAAATTAAAGAAAAAGGGAAAATCAATATTATAAAGAAGAGAAGGAAATTATATATCTCTCAAATGAAAGAGGGGAAATAATAGAAAAAGAGGAAAATTAAATTAAATAGTAGGGGGGCGGGAATTAAAGAAACCGAGGAAATAAAATTAAAAATTAGGGGAATTTTGAAGGAAAAAGTGAAAATTAAATTTCTTTTGAAAAGAAATATTAAAAAAGAGAGAAAATTTTTTCTCCTAAATTTCTGATTCTTTTGTTTGACAGTGAAAAATACAAATCAAAAAAGAATATTTAAATGCAACAGTACAAAGGGTTTTTAATTAATAAAAAAAAGAAAGAAGGAAAGAGAGAAAAGAGAAGAGAGAGAGAGAGAGAGAAAGTGAGAGGAAACGTGTGGATAATTGTGACGATTCGTTTAGCGATGTACAGTGAGAGAAGGGTTGAATTCGTGTGGTGGTGGTGAGCGAAATGGACAGTAACGATAATTCGGCCTATTCGTCAGTGATTAGAGAGTGGCAAGGTGGAAATTTTCGTGGTCGTAGTGGACGAAGAAAGAGAAAACGACGAAAGCCATGGTGTGAAAGAATTGCCGATTGGACACGAGCTTTCATTGCCTTTCTATTTAGTAATGTTGGCATCGTATTTCTCGTGGTCAGTTATACAATTGCCGGCGCATTTCTCTTTCAATTTATTGAGGGCAAAAATAGTCTCGATAGAGCCAGTCACGTTCTTACATTAAGAAATGATACTGCCTTTCGTCTTTGGGAACTCACATGCAAGGTAATTATCATTATTTTTTACAATTATTTCATTCTGCTTTTTTCATTCGCTTTCTTTCATTTATTTTCCTTAATTTTCTTTTCATTTTATTTTAAACTGTAAAATTGTTGAAAAAAATGTAGAAATAAAAAAACAAAAAAAACTGTGTCTCCATAAGAAAATATTATCCCCAGTATTATCAGGGGGATCAGGTGGAAATAGAGAGAGAGAGAGAGAGAGAGAGAGAGAGAGAGAGAGAGAGAGAGAGAGAGAGAGAGAGAGAGAGAGAAGGGAAGTGGGTGTAGAGGGGCTTTTTTTACACCTCCTTCTCTTTGAGGAAATTGTTGGGATAAAAAAAGGAAAAGAGGTGTGTATTTTCAATAGTCGTGAAGAAATCCCTGAGGCGTATAAAAGTGAGAAACAAAAAGTTTCGAGTCTCTTGATTGCTATTAGACTCGTGCTCGAAGAAACAAACCAACAAGAAACTTTCGTTTTACACTTGAAAATCCCAATTGGAAGTAAGGGGCTTTTAGAAACATTCTTATGAGAGATTGCACTTGACAGAGTAATTTACGATCAGATATGGGAAGTTTTAATGTTGAAACTCGTTCTATAATTGTTGTTCAAATAAAAAAAAAAGAAAAAGAGCCAAAAAAGAAAAAATTAAATACTATTATCGTATTCCATCTGAGAAGTTCTCCGTTTGATAAATACGATAACAATTTATACTTTTCTTTATTCTACAATTTATTTTTACCCAAAAAGTTTTCGGCAGAAATCACTTCTTTCTAAAAAAAAGTAAAAAGGAGAACAAATATTTTTTCTAGCAAATTATGAATTTTCTCTCTCTCTCCATCTTTCTCTCAAATTGTGCAACTTGGGAAAATAAAAACTAATCGTCAATGTGTTTGTTGCGAGGAAAAAAATAATCACTTAATTTCGTAAAGATTAACTGCTCGGAGAATGTGTTTGTTAATGGGTCTCTTTTGATTCTTGTTTTCCGTTGTATTTGTTTTTTCAGTTAAACGTATTTTCGGAGAGGACCTGGAAGGCGAGAGTTCGTGCAGAGCTTGCAAATTACCAAAAAGAGATCGTGAGTGCAATAAAAAACGGATACGACGGAGCTGATTCATCGAGTGGTAGCAGCAAGCAATGGAGCTTTGCCGGTGCTTTCCTTTATTCACTTACAGTCATTACCACTATCGGTAAGTTTACCATATATTATAACCGTGATTTTATTTTTTCCTCTTTTTTTATTTTTAAATTTTTCAGTTTTCATATATACACACACATATATACATATATATATATATCCATAGCCAGCAGCAATTAAAGTTATTTACCTGCAATATAGAATGGTCAACCGCAGACCACTCCATCAAATGGGATTAAACCCACTCATTTAACATTACAATTTGATCTTTTGATCTTTTTTTATTTATTCTCTGATGAAAAATTACTTTTTAATGGTATCGCCCTGTTTAGGGAATGTTGAACAAAATCGCAATTGTAAATTATTTTTTAAAATAAAATTTTAAAAATAACAAAATAATAATAAAAAAAAAGAATTTGTAATCATCACAATCGAAATTTGTTGAGTGTGAGAAACAGTATGTTGTCAGCCAACGAGAGATTCAATAATTGTTATTAGAAGCTTATTATTCTCGTTTGGTACTAATTTTTATTTTTTATTTATTTAAAAATATAAAATAATGCTAATATGAGAAGAACAATGAAGAAAAATTATTTGTAATCAGCACAATAGAATTATTAATTAATTAATTAATAAAAATTAATAAGAAATAACTAAAAAATGAAATATTTTTCATGCAAATAAACTTTTCTTAATTATGCGCTTATCATCGTAAAGTTTACCAAATTCCTCATCCAACAAGAGTAATTTTAACTATACTTTATAAATAATTGTTAAATAAATAAGTAATTGATTATTTATTTATTAATTTTTTTGGAAAAAGGACATTTTTTTCTTTTTTTTTAAATAAAGCTTAATATGTATACTTTCAATACCTGAAAATAAAATAAATGCCGTTTTTTTCGAATTATTAATTAATTAATTAATAAAAAATAGTAAGAAATTACTAAAAAATGAAATATACTTTACAAACAAATAAACTTTTTTTTTAACTTTATTTAGTGCTTACCACCATAAAGCTTATCAAATTCCGTATCCAACAAGCATAATTTTAACTTTTTTTTATAAATAATTTGTAAAGTATTTCATTTTTTAGTAATTTCTTACTATTTTTTATTAATTAATTAATTAATAATTCGAAACAAAAAAAAGGCATTTTTCTCTTTTCGGGTATTGAAAATACACATATTAAGCTTTATTTAAAAAAAATTGCCTTTTTCCAAAAAATTAAATAAATATTTAATAAATTAAAAAAAAATTTATAATTATAAAAAAAAATAAAAAATTAAAAAATTAAAAAATTATTAAATTTAAATTTAAAAATTTAAATTTAAATTTATTTTGAATTAAATAAATAAATAATGAATTATTTATTTATTTAACAATTATTTTTAAAATATAGTTAAAATTATACTTGCTGGATGCGGAATTTGGTAACCTTTACGATGGTAACCCCAAAAAAATTAAAAAAAGTTTATTTGCTTGAGAAATATTTCATTTTTTAGTAATTTCTTACTAATTTTTTTTAATTAATTAATTAATAATTCGAAACAAAAAAAAACGGCATTTTTCTCTTTTCGGGTAATGAAAGTACACATAAGTAAGCTTTATTTTAAAGCAAAAAAAAAGTCAAAAATAATTTTGATTTTGAAAAAATTAAGTTAAATTTTAAATTTAAAGAAAATTTTTTGCACCATTTGAAAGAGGAGGAAAAAACCTTTCGAAAACATATAGGTCAAAATTTTGTCCACTCTACTGTATTTTAGCTACAGCAGCTAATAAAATCCATTTTTCACACTTTACCAAAAACTTTATCCCCCTCTACAATTTTTAATAAAATTTCTGAATATTTCATGGGTAAAGTTCTCTCCCATAGTACTTAAAGTTTTTGAAAAAATCAGCACGTTTTGAAAACTTTCGATTTTAAGTTGAGACACTTGAGGAATCTGCCCCATACATAGGGTAATGTCACCTTGAGTGGACCGCCTAAGCTTTTTTTCGAAAAAATTCTTTATGAAAGCAAATTAATGGGAGGTTTCTATTCCATGCTTTAGTTTAGATTCCTAGGTAAGTGTTTACACCATAATAGCTTTGTTTTATTTTTATTTGGGAAAAACAATTGACTTTAAAAAAATAGCTAATTTTTAAGGAATGAAAAAAGTGTAACCTTGAGTGGACCACTCTTAAAAAATTGTAAAAGTTATTCTAAATTCTTTAATGTATTTAATATTTCTGATATATTAAAACAAAATTTATGCTTATGCAGCTTCAGACCATGATTGTGTCGCAATGTTTACAAGTGAAACCACTTTTAATAATTTTGGCACATATCACATCAATATCACAAAAAAATTAATAAAGAACATAAAACATAGTTTCAAACTAATTTATTGTCAATTTATTTTCTTAAAAATGGTAAACTAACATTAAAAATATAAAAAACAGGCAGTCCTCTCATGGTTATAAACAGTGGTCCACTCATAGTGAAATACAACTTTTTATGGCAGCCACCACAATTTTTTTTTAATCAAAATTATCACTTAATTAAACTAAGATAATCAATTTCAATGTCAAAAGTAGTAGGGAAAAAATAAGTTACCTTTTAAAATTAAATTTTACACTACTTTTACACTTCTGAATCACTTCACTCACTGTAAGAGCGACTTCTTTTTTGGTTTGTATTCTTAAAAATGCGTTACATCAAACAATAACGTAGATGTTTATCGCGGAACTTAATTTCTTACGGTTTCTAGGTGCGGTGCTGCTATTCGTTTTATTTATTTCATGTTTCCGCTGTCAGATAACTTAAAAGCTCAGGTGGTCCACTCAAAGTGGCGGTCCACTCAATGTGACATTACCCTATAAATAAATAAAAAAGCAAAATAAATATGTAATGAATTAAAAAAAGTAGGGGAGAGTGGTCCTAAGTTGGCCACCACTTTTTTCGCTTGTGCATAAGGAAGAAATGCATATTCTTTTCAATTACGCAGAAATATTACAAATTTGATACATTTAGGAGAATAAAAACGCATTATTGAACTATTTTTGTTCAGAAAATAAAGCATTATTTTATTTCATTTATTTGCAGTGGTGGATGGCTGTGGAGACAGGCGTTTTTGTACTATGTCTTTTCTAATGTTTTTTAAACCATTTATTTTTTGTTTTTTGTCTTTGTTTAATTCCTAAGTTACACTTTTACGGCCTTTCTCGTGATGAAAAACACAAAAAAGAAGCAAAACATAAATAACAAGTTGTAAATCCAGATGTTCATTACATGAACATTTTGCTTCCTCTTTACGATCAGCAAAAAAATTTGCTTCCTCGTGGAGGAAGAATTATCAATAAGTATATTTCATTTTTAAATCATTTTTAATACTAATTAATATTTATAAAATAAAGTTCATTCGTCTTAATAGAAAAAATAAAATTTTCTTATACAGAAATATAAATCTAAATAAACAAAAAAATTTTTAGTAAAAAAGTGAATTTTTTAACTTTAATTGTAATTAATTCTATAAATTTCAATAGAATATATACTTTATATACATGAATCGATTCGTCTTGATGCAAAGAATAAGATTTTTGATTTATTTTTCAATAAATAACATTTTATTGTTCAGCAACATGATTTTTAAGACAAAAAGAATTTTTTTAAAAGTGAAATTTTTTTGTCTATAATTGGTTTTAATTCTATAAATTTAAATACAATATATTTATTTATTTATTTATTTAACAATTTATACGGGCTTACAAAAGAGAACGCCCTTTTATTAAAACTAACTTAAATCTAAATTGCATGAATTATCTAACTAAGTGTTATCGCTCGCATTCTAATCAACGGTTTTCAAATAAGTGGCCAAACCACGCAGAAACATTAATTTTGAACTCGCGAAAAAGTCGACATCTTTCATGACGTGAGCACTATTTGCCTCACGACAAATTCGTAAGAGAGGCGAATTACCTCCAAGATTTGTGCGTGAATATTGGACCTTGAATGTCAGTCTATTTGATTGACGGTTTCTTAACCAAAGATGAGGAGTCATAAACGAGATCTGAGACAACAACTCTGGACAATCAATTTGACTATTGATAATATTATAAAGAAATTGAAGGTCCAATTTTATAAATCTACTATGGACAGTTGGGATTTTAGTAATTAAGTACAATTCAGTATAATCATGTTTAATAAAATCAAATGGTATATTCAACTGTTTTGCGACAAATCTTAAGAATTTATGTTGTATTTTTTCTAAATTTTCTTGCTGATAAAGATATTGAGGATAATAAATGGTTGATAAGCATTCAATATGGGGTCTAACAAGAGAAAAGAATAATATTTTAAGGACTCGAAGGTTATGAAAAACTGTACCAAATCTTATTATTTGGCCAAGTGCTTTTGATGTTTTTTTAATAACCTGATCAATATGAAAGTTATAATTTAGAGCAGGGTCCATAATTAATCCCAAATCTCGCTGCTGACTCACCCGTTCAAGTACTGTACCAGATATATTATAATAAAATTTGACAATTTTTAATTTCCTATGAAATGACATTATGGTGCACTTGGTAATATTTAAAGGCAGACGATTTTTGGTGGACCACTGGGAAACCCTATCAAGATCCTCCTGTAGTTCAAGGGCACAAAAAATTGAAACTATGACTTTAAATAATTTAAAGTCGTCAGCGTAACTTAAAAATTTACTATTCTGAACACAATTTCTTATATCGTTAATATAAATTATAAAAAGAAGGGGACCAAGATGGGAACCCTGTGGTACACCAGACGAAGAAAAAAATTCGTTAGAAAAGGTACCATTGACTCGACAAATCTGCCTTCTTTTATGAAGATAAGAAGAAAGCCACCTCAAAGTGGGATTCGAGACACCATAAGCCCTAAGTTTATACATTAATATACTGTGATCGACTTTGTCGAATGCTTTTGAAAAATCGGTATAAATTGTATCCACTTGTAGTCCTCTATCCAATGAGGTTGACAAGTACTGAGTAAAAACGCATAAATTCGTTGATGTGGAGCGTTTCCTTCTGAAACCG